ACATACACACATACACACACACATACAGACACACTAACTGCAAAGACTCCCATTTTGTGCTTCGCGCATGGGAGTCAATAACATTTAATCCATTATATCTTGCCTTTGTACAATATTTAACTCAAATCTGTACAATCATCTCAGTAAAATGAGCAGAACACTCGTAAAAAACAAAATGTCCACCATTTTGAATCAAATCATGAAGAATAAAAATGACGTGCATCCTTAACCCACCATTACTGATGTCAATGCTAAGTTTGAATGAAATCGGTCAAGGCATGTCCAAGAAACGGTTGATGACATGTCCAAATGTTGATTTCTGGTGTTTTTTGGGACAAAAATGGACACCAGTCGGTCAAAGATCAACTAAATAAAAAATAAATTGATGTGCACATGTCTCCTATTATGACATGTCTTTGTACCAGCCAGGAAAATCTGTCCAGAAATCTCTGAGAAATGACGACGAACGGACAGAACCCAAAATATAAGTCACTGTTTTGGATTTTCGTAAATCTTTTACTTTACATATGTATCTACGGCAGTGAGTAATCACATAAAATGATCAGGTGATTTAGATAACTAGCTATGTATGTGTATTCGATCTACAACCTAGTGAACAATAAATACATTCTTTTATGTGTGTTATTTTTACTATCATCGTCATATGGAGACACTGAGTCACCGTCTTCTCTGATATAAGATTGATGAGTGCTGTCAATCTGGAGGATTTTCTTTACACCAAGCTGATCAAATTTCTCTGCATTCTTTGAGATAACTGAAGACAACATGTCAGCATTGCATTTATCTATTTTGAATAAACCAAACGACATGTCACTCTTAGTTTTTCCCCAGTATTCAGATTTTACACAGCCGAATTGATTGAGGTTGTTGATAATGTCAGCCGTCGTCGTCTGTTCAAGATCGACATCCATGGCCAGTATGACTCGATCTTTACCTACATAAAAACAAAAACATTAATTAAACAATATTTTGTTACTATAATCACAAAACCCATTTGACTTTATAAGCACTATTGTACATAAGGTACTGACACAGAATGAGAACTGTTGTTAGAAAACATACCACAACTTTGTTCTTCCAATGAAATCTGTTCTTCTTTCTCAGCTACAGCATGCTGTGAATCCTGTATTGAAAAAAAAGACTTACTTTAAATACACATGACCATCTTTCCACTATTCAGAAGGGAACATTGCTAACAATGAAATACGAGATGAGTGAGCAATTATTATAATTATACAGTAACGTTACACATTCAAATGTAGCACACGAATGTCACTCAAAAGGAGGATAAGAAACGCCAGTAATCAGTGTTTAAACAAACACATGTGGGAGAGTTGTTTGGCCATAATATTATAATAACAATAAAATATCCAACAACCCTGCATACTTTGCAGAGGAGCAGAAGAATAAAAATATTGACACTGTCTGTAAAATAGCTTGTGGTAAACTGGGCGAAACAATGTTTATTTCTTAAATAACAACTACATTGATGTATGTGCAGGTAGTTTATCAAAATCAACACACATGGACTAGATTGCATATGATAATAATGATACCTCTATCCCAGCATTCCACATTAATTCAGCATCACTAACATCATTGTCTTCTGAGTATTCATCATCTGAAATATAACATTAAGTTATAGATGTAGGTTAATTGACAGTTCAGACTTCACATTGATCTATCATAACAAACCCTCACCTATTTTTTTGCAAGAATGCATACATTTTACAAAAAAAAGCTTCGAAAGAACTCCCGTATGCTGAAAGTATTGGAGACACATTCAAAATTAATTGAAAATTACTTGTGCTTGAGACATTGATGGAAAAGCTAAAAACTAATTATGCAAATCAAGTAATTAATATGAGCAGATTTGAGTGTAAAATCTATATTAACTCTATCAAATCAGCCATGAACTTTATTTCAGTTCATCTAACCAAGTTTCAAAATAAAATATTTATGTTAACTCCATCAAATCGACCATGAATTTCAGCTCAACGAGTTCTAGAAATGTGTTGATAAACATTGATTTTCCCACAATCCAATGCGCACTTCAAGAAATCACAAGTATGGGGTTTGACCGGGGGGCAACTTGCACTAAATACCGCCGGTGACTCCTTTGATACATTCCAATCACCTAAAAATACCCCATTAAAGCTTTATAACATCCTAGTTTGTACTCATTAATCTGCACAATAGTCAATATCGCTATCTTTGTTGATATGAGACCCATATATCTCTCGCATGCGACGACTGCCACCCAAATGTTTTACCAAATGTGTGCTCATTTAGTAAGATTTAACATTATTTTGACTCATTATTTTAATGTTTTTATTCAGCTGTTCAGAGGTTAAACAAGTAGCCTGTTGGCTGATATAGCTCCACTCATAGCAATGCACATTACAATTAAAGAACTGAAGATATCATTAGAAAATGAACAATATGTATAGTATCAAAGCAATCGAATGTGCTGTTTTCAACAAGAATTCAAAAATATCACTTTTCACCAAAAATGACAAAAATATTCATCAAAATTAGATAACTGAAGATATCATCACGAAATGAACAAATCTGAAAGGAGTCCACATATAGTACCTATATATGTAATATCAAAGCAATCAGACTTGGGGTTTTTAACAAGAAGTCGAAAATATCACTTTTTACCAAAAATTTTTACCAAAAATGACAAAAATATTCACCAAAATTAGAGAATTGAAAATATCATCACAAAATGAACGAATCTGAGAAAGGTCCACATGTAGTACCTATATATGTAATATCAAAACAATTGGAGTTTTGGTTTTTAACAAGAAGTCAAAAATATCACTTTTTACCAACAATATTTACCAAAAATGACAAAAATATTCACCAAAATTAGAGAATTGAAGATATCACAAAATGAAAGAATCTGAGAAAGGTCCACATGTAGTACCTATATATGTAATATCAAAGCAATTGGAGTTTTGGTTTTTAACAAGAAGTCGAAAATATCACTTTTTACCAAAAATGACAAAAATATTGGAGAATTGAAGATATCATCATGAAATGAACAAACCAAGAGAGGTCTACCCAGGGTATATATACACCAAGTATCAAAGCATTCAGGCTTGTAGTTTTCAAGAAGAAGTTGAAAAAGTAAAACATTGACACGGACGACAGAAGCAGATGGACGACGACGACGGACAATCACTCATATGATAAGCTCAACAAAGTCGACAGCGGAGCTAAAAATGACAAAAATATTCACCAAAATTGGAGAATTGAAGATATCATTACAAAATGAACAAATCTGAGATAGATCCACATGTAGTACCTATAGATGTAATATCGAAAAAGTAAAACACTGACAACGTTCGACGGACAATCACTCATATGATAAGCTCAACAAAGTCGACAGCGGAGCTAAAAATGACAAAAATATTCACCAAAATTGGAGAATTGAAGATATCATTACAAAATGAACAAATCTGAGATAGATCCACATGTAGTACCTATATATGTAATATCGAAAAAGTAAAACACTGACAACGTTCGACGGACAATCACTCATATGATAAGCTACGTTCGACAAAGTCGACAGCTAAAAAACATGGTCCTACTGATGGAAATTGTATATTAAAGGCATCAAATTATTTAGAAACAAACAATTTTCAAAAATGCATCAGTAAATCGAATCAAACAAATTAGTTAGCAAAATGTTATAGTATAGCATTAATATTTTAGAATTTTAGAACAAATGGAACACATCCAAATAAATCTTAGTGTATCATAAACTTGTTAAAAATACAGTACTTTGTATCAGAACAAAACATCCTGCTTATTACACATGCCATATATTACACTTGTGTGCATTGCATATTACAAAATCCTGC